CAGGCTGCCCGCCTTTTCGGGCCCCGCCCCCGCACCCGCACCCGCACCCGCACCCGCACAGCGCTGTCTCGCATCCAGAGCGCTTTCTCTCCCGAGGCTTTCTGCCCCGCCCCGGCCCGGGGAGCAAGAGACGTGAGCTGGAGCCTCTGACCAACCTAGTCCCCACCCCCGACGGGTGACCCAGGACCGGCGTCCAGCTCCAGGACTTGATTCACCAGAAAACAGCCTGGCTTGTTTTGAAAACGCTTGGGTGTGCAGGCTCACCACCTCCTGTGAGAACCCCCGTCTAAACTATTTCTTTACATGAAGTAAGACTGTTTTATCAGGCTGTCCGTCTTTGGCTCCAATACTAGTTGCTTTTCAGAATAAATCTAAATCCTCTCCTCCAGCAAAAGGCAACAGACCTTGAAGTGCAGGAAACTTACAATATAATCCCAACTAAGTAAGCGTAAGGGCACTCAAACTTTTTCTTTTTCACTCAAACATCAGATTTTGCCATGAGATTTTTGGACGTTTGCTCTTCACCCTACTCCCATCCCCATACTTTTTCTTTTTCAGACAAAGTAACCTCAGTTTCTACAGCGGCTTTTTTCTACCTCTTTATTTCTTACTAAAGCCCACCAGTCCTCCAGATTCCCTCCAAAATATGCCTTGTTCTCTTCTTCTTCTTCTTCTTCTTCTTCTTCTTCTTCTTCTTCTTCTTCTTCTTCTTCTTCTTCTTTTTTCAGAGACAGATTTTTCTCTATAGGGTGTGTGCACTCACTTGAGAAACAGAGAGACAGAATGCAAGAAATCATCCCCAGGGGCCATGGTCACTCTGCGGTCCTTTCTCCTTCATTCTCCCGGGATTTTGGACACGCATCATGTACACACCCCTGATGTGAGTTTTAAGCCACTGGGTCCAGAACTTGAACTGCAGTGGACTATGTGGGACTCCAGTCACCTAACCATTACACCATCTGTTGGTCCCCAAAATATGCCTTTCTTTTGTCACCTTCCATCACCTCCTCTTTGCTAAGAGAGGGAAGAATCTACTATTTTCGAGCATTAAATGAAAACAGACTCAGACTCAATGGTTGGAGAGAACGTGTTTGTACAAAAGCCTCCACTTGGAAGGAATTCATTTATGAATTCTACAGACAATACACTTCAGCCAGCTCACAGTTCTTTCCCAGTCGGAGGGTCCTTCATACCTAGACTCCGCTTTACACTTGCAGTGAGATTTCCAAATATTTTTCTTCCTAGCTAGACTGGCAGGCTTATGAAAGCAAGAACTTCTCTGTAATTCCAGGCGTCTTTCACGTAACAGTGTTTAACAACAGAGGACAGATTAATACCTCTTAGTAAAGAAACGTGCATTTAGAGAAGCAGCGATTGCTTGCGGGGTGGGTGGTGGGTGGGGGGAAACGGGGTGGGTGGGGGCTTCGCCTTCACACTTAGCTTTAAGTCCCAGACTTGTGATTCAAGAGTTTTACAATCATGAGCTGATGATACAGGATATAAACCTTAGTCTGGTTTGTTATACCAGAATTCCTGCCTTTTACATTCATTCATGTAATGACTACCAAAAGCTACTATCTGCCACCTACTTCTCAGAGCTGGAGATAAGGCAGTGATGATGTCAGGTGGGAACTAGGGATTGGAAAAATATAAAGTAAGATTAAAAAAAAATTTAACGGGTGGGGTGGGAGACTATTTAGACGTGATGGTTAACTATATCCCTTTAAGTGTGCCTGACAAGGACATTTTAAATCATAAACATTCCTATAAGGAACGATGAGTTCCCTGATCTTGAAGATTTGCTATTATATTCCCAGGACATAGCTGAAAAATTGGCATTTTGTAACTATTTAACAAGAATTTGTTGAACAAATGGATAGACGAATTTGAGTCTTAAAAAATAGACTCCATCTGGCTAGTTTAAGAAAAGACTGAATTACTTGAGTACAATCTCTGGTCTTTCACTTCTGTGTCTCCAGTGTCTGTCATATTGTCTAGCACTTAGCAGTCTCCAAATAAATATTTATTGGAACTGAAGTGAGTGAGTTCCTGCCTGAGGAAGTATGTTGCCACAGATTGTACCAGCATTGTGTTACGTGATAATTCTCCCATCACTCAAATGTGTTGTTTTTCTGTTATTGAACATTTTGTCTTCATGTCACCGAGAAGAAATGCCCATAAAACTATAGAAAACAGTCCTGAGAAACAACTAATCATTAAGAGTTCACCAAGGAATATTAAACTAGCTAAATAAGTTTATTTCCCTGGAGAGAACCAAATGTCATGCATATATACACACAATTTTCTATCTTGAGCTTCTCTAGTATTGCAGAATTACAGGGCAAGAGAAGGTCTCATGTCATGAGAGAAAAACAATTTCCATTATATTTTCTATTCCGGGGTGGGTGGGGGCTTCGCCTTCACACTTAGCTTTAAGTCCCAGACTTGTGATTCAAGAGTTTTACAATCATGAGCTGATGATACAGGATATAAACCTTAGTCTGGTTTGTTATACCAGAATTCCTGCCTTTTACATTCATTCATGTAATGACTACCAAAAGCTACTATCTGCCACCTACTTCTCAGAGCTGGAGATAAGGCAGTGATGATGTCAGGTGGGAACTAGGGATTGGAAAAATATAAAGTAAGATTAAAAAAAAATTTAACGGGTGGGGTGGGAGACTATTTAGACGTGATGGTTAACTATATCCCTTTAAGTGTGCCTGACAAGGACATTTTAAATCATAAACATTCCTATAAGGAACGATGAGTTCCCTGATCTTGAAGATTTGCTATTATATTCCCAGGACATAGCTGAAAAATTGGCATTTTGTAACTATTTAACAAGAATTTGTTGAACAAATGGATAGACGAATTTGAGTCTTAAAAAATAGACTCCATCTGGCTAGTTTAAGAAAAGACTGAATTACTTGAGTACAATCTCTGGTCTTTCACTTCTGTGTCTCCAGTGTCTGTCATATTGTCTAGCACTTAGCAGTCTCCAAATAAATATTTATTGGAACTGAAGTGAGTGAGTTCCTGCCTGAGGAAGTATGTTGCCACAGATTGTACCAGCATTGTGTTACGTGATAATTCTCCCATCACTCAAATGTGTTGTTTTTCTGTTATTGAACATTTTGTCTTCATGTCACCGAGAAGAAATGCCCATAAAACTATAGAAAACAGTCCTGAGAAACAACTAATCATTAAGAGTTCACCAAGGAATATTAAACTAGCTAAATAAGTTTATTTCCCTGGAGAGAACCAAATGTCATGCATATATACACACAATTTTCTATCTTGAGCTTCTCTAGTATTGCAGAATTACAGGGCAAGAGAAGGTCTCATGTCATGAGAGAAAAACAATTTCCATTATATTTTCTATTCCTGAAGGGATTACAATATCACTATTTGGCAATGGCCTACCTAAAATAAACTACAGCTGCATAAGAAATGTTTTCTTTAGTTCTAGAATTAGAACATGTTCTTTAAAAACTCAAATCAACTTCTAATAAAAGGAAAAACTATTTGCATTCCTTTATTTCTTTTTTTAACCAGGACAGCACATTTATTCATCAAATAAATATTTGTCGGGTGTTTCTTATGTGTTAGACACTGTCCTAGGCTCTGAGGTTACAGCAGGTACCCAAATAAAAATCTGCCCCTTGTAAAGCTTGTATTGTATTCAGTAGAGGAATGAATAAATGAATAAATTAGCAAAAGATATTGCCTGATCTCATTCCAACCAGGTTCTCAAAAAAGATGAGTTCTCATAACTTCCTCGATTTTGTCTTTTCATTTTTCACGCCTCTGTGCTCAGTGTACTTGCTTTTTACCCTAGAGCTCTGCTTAAAATCAAAATCTCAAAAACCACCAATGAGCTCTTACAGGTCTTCATGTTACTCCCCTTGATTCCCACTTTCACCACTGTAATTCAGTTTATTACCTTTCAATCTATCATAATCTCCAAAGGGTTTATTCCATCTCTGGCTAATATTTTTCTCCAGTACTTTAAAATCCTAATGAGGCAGGGAGGGCTCCTTCGAAGTCTCCAGCTTTGATATTTTGTATAGTCTGATACAAATTCTTTGACCTTCTTATATCCCTAGACACCTAAAATGTCACTAACTACTACTAGGTAAGTACATTATATTACTCGATACTGCTAAAAACAATGTCAACAGCTGAAAACTAGGATCAGCTTAGTTCTGGCTCAGAGGAGAAGGGTAAACACTGTGTGTGTGTGTGTGTGTGTGTGTGTGTGTGTGTATGTGTGTGGCCAGTGCTCATCAGAACATGGTAAATTGGTTCAGTGGCTTGTTGTCCCATTGTTTTAAACATTAGTCTGAGAAATACATTCAGAAGAAAGCAAATACTACTCCTGAAAACAAGAACTTTCAAAGCCTTTAATATGATCAGTGATAGATAGCTTTTATTTGCTCTAGCAGTAGAACATCTGAAATGCATGCATGTTTATGAAGTACAGCTTATGCAAACTGCTACCAAACAATGAAGAGACAAATGCCCATCTGCAATGGCCATGTTGCCAGTTCTTTAGCTGCAACGTTATGCTTCTTGTCTAGTTCAACAGCTATCAAGACTCGCATGTATGTCAGATCGTATGCGGTCATCTAATCACTTCATGGCAGAGTAGCCTCTAACCCCAATGATCAATTTCAAACTCCAAAGCTCTTCGTAGTGACAAACTTGGAGGACAAAGTTAACATTTCATGGCTTCAGGAATTAAATCTGCTGCAGGCTTTTCACTGATTTGAACCATGTACTAATGACTACATGGTTCAAATCGGAATGCTTTCAGAGAATTTTAAGATGATTTACTACTGTTTAGCACCTCATCCATGCCACCCCGTCATGCACTTACTAGTAAATGATCTTCCAGAGTAATTATAATCATTATAAATCCATAATATAATTCTTCAACTATGTACTTGCATGTAAACAAGGCTGTTTACTCATAACCATGCTTTAAGGTTGCCACTTTAAATTCCTTTAAGACAGCTAACTCTTTTCCTACAGCCATGCATTTCTCTCTTGGCTTATACAGTCATTTTTT